GGTAGAGGAAAACCCATTCACAACATCCAGACAAGTGAAGGAGGCTCTCCAGGGGGTGGGCATATCATTGTCAAAAGTCTACAATCAAGAGAAGACTTCATGAGAGCAAATACAGAGGGTCCACCACAAGGTGCAAACCATTCATAAGCCTGAAGAATAGAAAAGCCAGATTAGACGTTGCCAAATAAACATCTAAAAAAAAGCCAGATCAGTTCTGGAAAAGCATTCTTTGGACAGATGAAATGAAGATTGATCTGTACCAGAATGAAGGGAAGAAAATAGTGTGGAGAAGGCTTGGAACAGCTCATGATTCAAAGCACACAACATCATCTGTAAAACATGGTGTAGGCAGTGTGATGGCATGGGCATGCATGGCTTCCAGTGGCACTGGGTCATTGGTGTTTTCTGATGATGTGACAGAAGACAGAAGCAGCCGGATTAATTCTGGAATGTTTAGAGATATACTGTCAGCTCAGATTCAGCCAAATGCAGCAAAGTTGATTGGGCAGCACTTCACAGTACAGATGGACTATGATCCAAAACGCACTGCAAATGCAACTCAGGAACTTTTGAAGGAAAAGAAGTGGAATATTCTGCAATGGCCGAGTCAATCACCTGATCTCAACCCAATTGAGCATGCATTTCACTTGATGAAGGCAAAACTAAAGGTAGAAAGACTCACAAACAAAGAACAATGAAGACAGCTGCAGTTAGAGCCTGGCAAAGCATCAGAAAGGAGGAAACCCATTCTCTGGTTATGTCCATGGGTTACAGACTTCAGGCAGTCATTGCCAGTAAAAGATTCTCAACAAAATATTAAAAATTAACATTTTATTTATGATTATATTTATTTGTCCAGTTACATTTGAGTCCCTGAAAATGGAGGACTGTGTATAAAAATGGTTGCAGTTCCTAAAATTTGTACTTTATATTTATGTTCAACCCATGAATTAAAGCTGAAAGTCTGCACTTCAAATTCATTTGGATTGTTTTTTTTTTATTTATTCTGGTGGCATACAGAGCCAAAAGTATGCAAATTGTGCCTGTGTCCAAACATACATGGACCTAACTCTCTCTCTCTATATATATATATATATACATATATATGTATATATATATTAAAATACAAGATATATACAAATAGCTAAAACCAAATCTGAATTACTGTGTTGACACTTGTTAATTCCATAAAGGAAATTTCCAAAATAGGCCCAGTAGGAAAATACAACTGTGAGGGATCTTTAAATGTTGCAATAATTTGTAGAAAATGTAGTGTTAAAACACAGCTGGTAAGATACTACCTGGGCCCCATGGCCTCGACTGTTCTGTCTGAACCCCTGTAGGTATGATCAAAGGTTATACAACAAGATTGGAAAACACTGTTTTTAATTTTCTAAAGAACTTCAAATGAATGTTCTGTTTCCAAGATCTCTCCCTTTCCTATTAACTGAACCACAGAATGTATTCCTAGTGTGTTTTAGTGTATGCCAGGTCCGTAGGGGGCAGCAAGCTTCATTAGTTTACCTTGGCAAGCTCAGTAAATTCTATTATATATAAAAACATCTTTTGTTTTAAATTGTGCTTAGCTACAGAGCATTGCATGTAACTTCCCCACTGGAGCCTCCACATTCTCAGTGTGTTTTCTCGAACTTCAATCAAGCGGTCAGCTCTGCCAAGACATTGTGTACATAGTTTCACCTTAACTAAGCCTTTTCTTCATGGTTCTGGCTTTGGCTGTACTTTAAATCACCAAAGCCAGGCTGCACATTGGTACAACCAATTCTTTTGAATTTTAAAGAGACATTGTAGAAAACACTTTAGCAATTAATTAGACACAGGAAAAACTAGGCCGGGGCTTTCAAGATATATCCATACTACCTAAAATGGCACCACACAAGACCAACAATAACACAGGGGCTAACTGAAACTGCAGCAGATGTAATTTGGAACAGATGTGCATAGTAATCAATCAGTTTGAAAGCTAGAAGCTGATTGGTTGTAATGGACTGCTGCGCCAATGCAGTAAAAAAGCAGAGTAATTGCTCCTCACAGTTATGCAAAGGAATCATGTTACATCTTAGATATAAATAATGAACTTAATTGATGCATGCATTTAATGTTTTTTATGGCATTATATTGGAACTTAAAAACATTCGGTGGGTTTTTGCCATAAAGTGCACCCCCAATTGTTGTAATAGACTCCACCTGTTGTAATAGTGCACCATTTAGGAGGTAATCAAATTTGCAGCAGCCAGTGATGTCACTGGTGCATGTGCACTGCTCTCTGCATGGACGGCACACTGAGTATACCGTCCATTCAGAGTGTTGTGCCACGATCATGACTCCCATGTACCAGGGTGCATGAACCCGGAAGGAAGACCAAATGAAGATTGAAGCCCTGGCAGCAGTGACAACACGCCGCTGGAAGGATCAGCTTTACAGGCAAGTCTGTCATAATGTGCTAGCATGTGGTGCAGAATTACTACCACTTTAAAGAGGTTGCAAATGAAATATAAACAAAATATACATACATATACTGTATTCTTGCCTCAATCCATAGCACTTCATTTGGATCCTGGCTGCTCTCTCCTTCATCTGCAATCTGCATGGGTCCCTTTAGAAAGTTTTCACCAACACCGAGCAATTCATGGTGATGGCCCGCCCCCCTCTCTAACACCCAGCTGGTGATTAACAGCTTCAGATGTGCATGTTTTCCTGTGAGACTGTGTAGAGGGGGTGTGTCCATTACCTCCACTCAGGTGCCAGATTACATTCAGCTCTCTGCTCTGTGCTGTGTCATGTGTGATGTCAGATCCCCTGCCTTCTGGAAGATAAGGACTACCATCTGATCTATGGACTTTAGAAGGCTCTGGAGAAGAGATGGCTACAGATAAACAGGTACAGCTTATGTGGAAGGATTTGCTTCATCATTGTGTAGTCACTTCAGAGGGCTTATTGTAAGGGTTCAATACCACTTTAAGTGATCCTGAAAAACCTCTGACATTTGTGAAAGCTTTTACTTTTAATAATGTTCTAAAAATTGTATCTAAGTGCTGTTTAGACAGATTTTTTTCAGATGTAGTACCCTCCTAGGGTAGAATCATAAATCGGACACAAGGGGGCGCCAATCTCAGTGTAGAGGGTTAAAGATATATTGGTAACAAGAGGTTTAAAAACTACAGAGATTGGCCCCCCTTGTGTCCCATTTATTTTCTATAGAGTTCTGCTTCGCTCTATGGGGAGCTGCCTTCACCATCCACCCACTACCTAGGACCCTTTGACTATGGACTTCCCCGTCTCCATTTGTCGTTTCATTGCCACCCCATTTTGAACTCATTACTATCGTACGCTTATTCCCCTATTTGTATTTGTATTTCTCCAGCTGTATCCGTCATTTGTCACTAACCTATCTAGACTTTTCATGTGTGGTCCTCTCCCAGCGCCGTTTTGTTTTTAATTTTTTCACTCCTAGTGTAGGACGCTGGGCAAATTTAGTTTTTGGCTCCTTCTGTAGTCAAGGAAGCAGTGATTGTTTGCTCTGGTCTGTTCAGGGTTTCACAGGCTTAGAGTTTCCCCCCTGCTTCTGGAAGATATTTCCAGAATATGGAGCTTGGAAAGTTAAATGAATATTTATCATTGCCTAGCCAGTTCTTGGGAGTAGTGTCTAGAAGGTAGCTGGGGAGGTGATAAATAGTCTGAAGCCTTGGCAGGGAGGGTTCCCCCTGAGGCAGCCTGTGGACTGTTTTGCTGTTCTTTGAGGTTTCAGCTATGGCAGAGGTGAAGATCTGAAGTGTTCTTTCTGTGGGGCTGTCAGTGTGACTTTACTGTAAGGGATCCGGTTTGGAGAAGGATTGTCTCACTCCCTGCGCCAGATCAGGAGGAAACTGGAGGTGCGCAGCTGTCCTGGGGACTTGTCAGTACTGACCCTGAATTGTGATCCCTGGAGAATGTGTGCTTTTGTAATGTGAGTGCCAGAGCTAGCAAAGGACTGAGACAACTCTCAAGCAGTCTCAGAGTATTGGCCATTTCCCCATGTCCCCAGTGTAATCTGCATTCCAGCATAGAGAAGAGAGTGCCCCTATTACTGTGCAAGTGTTTTGGAGTATCCTATGCCCTAACCCCTCTCCTGATTAAAGTTCTTCAAGCAATACATTGCAAAAAATCAATCCCTAGACTCAGTTATTGGACACAGTATGCATGGACTGATGCTTGTGGTAGTGGGCAGCCCATATAATATTATGGAAGAACCAGTAGCCTCTATGGGATTGGCACTACACAAAAATAGGTGCTGAAGTCCACAAACAAGAACAGGTTCAGTCTGCACTGTGATTCCCCTAATGATCCTCCTGAGTTGAAACAACACTGGAGGCATGTGACACCTGGTCTCTCCTCTAGAAGAGACCTAGATCAGTTAGGTCACAGTCTGCCCCAAAATAGTTATCAGAGTCCACCAATGTGCATACTTCTAGTCTACCATGTAACAAAAAATGATGAGTGTCAGGTTCAGAGGAGGTTTGGATGAGTGCGATGTATGACTGATAATTAACAGAAGTCTAGAGAAGAAGTATGGAACATCTGCAAGACTGACAAATGTAAAATATACTGAAAAGGTATGTATAAAAAATGAGTGGTATAACCAAGGTATGTCCTAACATGTAAAACATCATCATCCAAATAATCTCCTTAGTGTTCATGAACATGGGTAATATTTCTCTAAATTATTTATTCTGCATCATCACCTAATCAGAAGGTGTATTTGTGACATTTTTTATTACAAGTGGTATTTCGTATACACATGACCACTAAATTGTCTTACTTTCCAGCAAAATAAACAGATATGTGAATAATAAATGTATAAAAACGTCTTTTTGATAGGTAGCTGAAAAACCTATCTGATCAATTTATTTTTATAATGTTCAAATTAATTAGAATTAAAATGTTTGCAATGAACATTTTGTTTAAAAATTATAAAACAATTGTATTTTTCTCCTAATTTCTAGAGTGGGAAGACGACCAATAATGTGGATCACAAGTTCATGCCAGTTTTTATTTGGTGTTGCTGTGGCATTTACTTTCGACTATTACAGCTTTATCATTGTTCGTTTTTTCCTGGCTACGGTGTGTTCATGTTTTATTATATGTTACAGTATAACAAGCTCTACAAGTATAAAACTAGGTAATTGAAGCATCCAAATATCAGATAATGTTTATGTTTTTTTCTGAACTAGATATACCTTGTGCAGTGAATAAGTCCACAAATGTGTACACTTCTGGTTACCAGTAATTTTATGAATAATCTTGCATTGATAATAATCTAAACAATATTATTATTATTATTATACAGTATTTATATAACGCCAAAGGGTATGCTCAGCACTGTACAGTAGCAAGGGGGATAGAACATGAGACAAGACAGTAACAATACACTACACGAGGGGTTCAAGGGCCCTGCTCTTTCAAGCTTACAATCTAGGAGGGAGGGGAAGGTGGTACAGGAGGAGATGGCTGTGGGGGATGGAGTGGTGGGAGGAGTGGAGGAGGTTAGTTGTTAGGTGAGGTCGGGTGTTAGGTGAGGTTGGGGTAGGCTTCCCTGAAGAGGAGGGTTTTCAGGGTGCGCCTGAAGGTGAGGAGGGTAGGTGACAGTCTGATGGATTGGGGTAGGGAGTTCCAGAGGATGGGGGAAGTCCTGGAGAAGTCCTGCAATCGGGCGTGGGAGGAGGAGACCAGGGAGCTAGAGAGTAGGAGGTCCTGTGAGGAGCGGAGGGCACGGGTAGGGTAGTATTTGGGTATCAGGTCAGTTATGTAGTTCGGGGCGGCATTGTGAATGGCTTTGTAGGTCAGAGTTAGCAGTTTGAATTTGATGCGTTGGGCAATCGGGAGCCAATGAAGGGATTGGCAGAAGGGGGAGGCAGATGTGGAGCGGTTGGTGAGGTGGATGAGTCTAGCCGCTGAGTTTAGGATCGACTGGAGTGGGGATAGCGTACGTTTGGGTAGGCCAGTGAAAAGGGAGTTGCAGTAGTCCAGGCGTGAGATGATGAGGGAGTGTTCGAGTTGTTTGGTGGTGTCTGGGGTGAGGAATGTGCGTATCTTGGAGATGTTGCGGAGGTGGAGCCTGAAAGATCTAGATAGCAGTTGGATGTGGGGTAGGAAGGAGAGGTGGGAGTCCAGGGTGACACCCAGGACTTTGGCGTGTGGGGTGGGAGAGATGGTGGCATTGATAGTAGTGATGGAGAGGATGGGGGGGGGGGGCACGGGGTGGGGGGGGAAGACCAGGAGCTCGGTTTTGGGTAGGTTAAGTTTGAGGAAATGGAGCGACATCCAGTCTGATATGTCGTTTAGGAGGTGGGCGATGCAGGCAGAGAGTGAGGGGGTGAGGTGGGGAGTGGAGAGGTAAATTTGGGTGTCGCCGGCATAGAGGTGTTAATTGAAGCCGTGGGAGTGAATAAGTTTGCCAAGGGAGGAGGTATAGATGGAGAAGAGGAGGGGTCCGAGGACAGAGCCTTGGGGGACCCCGACAGAGAGGGGGAGGTGGCAGTGTTGTAGGTGATGCTGAAAGGAGCGTTGGGAAAGGTAGGAGGAGAACAAGGAGAGAGCAGCGTCCCTGATGCCAAGGGAGTGCAGTTTGGCAAGGAGGAGAGGGTGGTCAACAGTGTTGAAGGCCGCGGAGAGGTCGAGGAGCAGGAGGATAGAATAGTGGCCATTGGCTTTGGTGGTTAGCAGGTCATTGGTGATTTTAAGTAGGGCGGTTTCGGTGGAGTGCAGGGGACGGAAGCCAGACTGTAGGGGGTCAAGGAGGTTGTTATCAGTGAGGTGGGCGCTTAGGCGATTGTAGACCAGGCGCTCAAGGAGCTTGGAAGTGAAGGGCAACAAGGAGATGGGTCTAAGGTTGTTAAGGTTAGTGCGGTCAAGGGAGGGTTTTTTGAGTATGGGGGTGATGTGTGCGTGCTTTAGAGGGGAGGGGAAGGTGCCAGTGGAGAGGGAGAGATTGAAGATGTGGGGTGAGGGAGCGAATGATGGAGGGGGGGGGGGGTGACTGGAGGAGCTGTGAGGGGATAGGGTCCAGGGGGCAGGTGGTGAGGCGGGCTTCAGTGAAGACCTTAGAGACCTCCTCGGGGGTAGTTGGGCTGAAGGAGCGGAGTGTTGGGGAGGTGATGATGTGCGGAGCATTAGGTATAGTGGGGGGTAGTGCGACTATGAGGTCAGGGGAGGGGAGGGTTGAGGGGTTGAAGGAGGGCGGGAGGCTGGGTGGAGAGGTGGATTGTGAGTTGACAATGTCCTTACGGATTGCGTCAATCTTGTTTTGGAAGTGAGTGGCAATCTCGTGGTCGGTGAGTGAGGTGCTGGGTGGGGTTGGGGGGGGGGGGGGAGAGCAGGGATCTGAAAGTGGAGAAGAGCTGACGAGGACAGGTGGAGAGGGTGTTGATAAGGGTTATGAAATAGGCTTGCTTGGCGGCGTGGAGGGAATTGGTGTAGGCAAGGTAGGCGGCTTTATAGAGGGAGAACGTTTGAGGGGATGCATTTCGTGTGGTCGTTTTGCCAGGGTTGAAGCGGTCGGGGTCTAATGCTGCATGTGGTTAGGGGTGCCAGGGAGTCAAGGGCAGCTGACAGTGAGTTGTTGTATGCAGTAGTGGCCAGGTCAGGGCATGACAGAGGGAGGATACTGTCATACAGACGGTCAGCTGCCGGGTGGAGATGGGTCGGGTTCAGATTGCGGAGGTTGCGGGTGATGGTTAGGCGCTTCGGGGGGGGGGGGGAGTTGAGGGAGGGGGAGATGGAGAATGTGAGGAGGTGGTGGTCAGACAATAAATTACATACACAATTATGTTAAATTATGTGCCATTGTTCTGCAACTTACCATCAGAAACCACTTTGGGAATAGCCAGACTGGTGTGTTTTCATGACAAAATTGTTTTTAAAGTATTTGGGGTGAAAACGGAAAATTGAATAACAGATACTTAATGTAATTTTCCTTTCCTGGTGAGCTCCATGTCAGCAAAGCTGGGTAAGGGCCCCCACCACCCCCATGCGTCCAGGACCTAATTCATAAACCTGAGCCCACCTGAAGCCTCAGTGTTCTGTAACTAGTCTTACCAAGCTTGGTGGAAATTGTGCTGACATGGAGCTCACCAGGAAAGGAAAATTACAGTATCTGTCATTCAATTTTCCGTTTACCTGACAGCTCCATGTCTGCACATTTGGGAACTAACTAGCCCCACAGGGAGGGATAATGCTACACACTTGTCAATTCTGACTAAAAATCAGAAGCCAGGATGCCTCTGCCAAACTGAACTGTCATTAAGATTACTTCTATACAATAATGAGCCATGAACGTATATATTGACCCTCACGTAGATGCCTTGCAGATAGTGTCTGGGAACACTCAGCCTGCTGCCGCTCACAAGGTTGAGACCCTTTTGGTGGACAGTGATGTGATCCCCCTGACACAGCCAACCCTTTCATCTTGTAGGCCAAGGAGAAGAGCTTCACCAACCAGGAGGCAATAAACTTGTTGGAAGCCATAAAATCATTACATGCTAAACCTTGAATGACAAACAAGTGCTCCGACTGATGCCAGATGTCAGCTTGATGTTAAATTTTAAAGCTTGACCCAGATCTGATGTACGAACTTCTTTGGTACTTCCGAAGAGGGATGTAGGGAGGACTACTTTTTGTGTGATAAGGACTCTGAAGGCCACTTAGGCACGATCTTGAGCATCAGCATGAGTACCACTCTATCTGGGATGAACACAAGAAAGGGTTCTTTAAGCCTCTGGGTCGCTAATACGGACACTCTTTTGGTTGAAGTAATTGCAACCAAAAAAGCAGTTTTCAGCAAGAGGCCACTTTGATTGTAGGCATCTGATGCAAACAAGTCCAACACCAATGGGAGATCCCACTTCACAAACAATCCCTTAGGTAGGTTTCAACCAAGTTGCAGCTTGAAGGACAGTATAATTGAGTGTCGGATGCCCACTGTATGTCAGTGAATGCAGAGATAGCTGAAATGTGGTCCCATAGCGTACTTACACATAAACCTAAATCAAGCCTCGCCTACAGAAACTTCAGAATGTGACAGACTTGTGAAGAGCCCAGTGTAAAACCTTGATCAGCAGCAATCCTGTGAATTTATGTCATATTCTACTATATGCACTGTTAGTGCTGTTCTTTTTGGCTTTCATAAGCGTATTCACAACCTTTACAGAGTACCCAAGATCTATTAGCCTCTGCCTCTCAAGACCTAAGCCATGAGCTTGAGCCTGTCAAATGTTGGATGAATGGGACTTCGGAGAATCCGATCTTACCGGCAGAGGGAGTGGATCCTTGGCACTCATTATGAGGGGCAGAGGGTACCATGGCCCCTTCAACCAATCTGGGATCACCACCAGAACTATCACCTTCCCCTGTCACAGCCTCAGCAGGAATCTGAGAATCAGAGGGAGAGGCAGGAAGGCATAACTCTGCGATCAGCACCTCCACCCCAATTGCTTGTGGATGCTGGACCCTGGAATAAAAAGCAACTTTGTGTTGACTGAGGATGTGAACAAGTGTACCTCTGGAAGAGATTACCAAGACCTTTAGCTCTTGAAAGACTTGCAGCAGTCTGGGCCATTCATTGTCATCCAGGATTGTCCTGGATAAATTGTTTGCCTAAAGATTCTTCTGACCGGGCATATAGGCAGCAGATAGATGCAGGATATTGACTTGGGCCAACTCTAGAATCAGAGGAACCTCCTTCAGGGGGGAGAAACTAAGTGCCCCCTTGTTACTGGATGTAGGCCACAGTCATTGTGCTGTCTAACTTCACCAGAACAGGTCCGCCCTGGATGAGGTCACTGAAGGCTAGGAGAGACTTAAATTCAGTTCTTAACTCCTACTTTGCTGGTGTCTTGCTGCACCACCAGCCACTAGGTCATCAGATGGGAATGACATCGCAGAAGATTCTGCTTCTCCAACTACAAGTTTTGGCTCACTTTCATACAGGGCGTAATCCATATCTTCTGACCTAGGCCCTCTGACTGCTACTAGTCCAGAAACCCAACTTGATAGGGGGTGAGAGTTCAACTGAGCCTACCTGACCTGCTGGATCTGAGACGTGAAGGTTGAAAGATCTCCCACAT